TAGACTCTATCGAGCTACCCAGTTCTCCATTCAAAATTCCATGGTAAGTTGGCGGACTTCCGAGGTCAAGCAGCGAGCGCTCGCTAAAGTTTCAATACGAACATTGACTGGGAAACAGACAACTGGTGGCTCTCACACTCTCACAAAGGTTTTTCCGTTCTCTATAGAGACGGAGTGCTTCTCACGCTGGAACTCTGTGTATAGGGGTTATTGATGGCCCTGGTCACGCTTCTGACCATTACAATTGGCGCCGAAGGCCATTTGGCGCCAACATGGCTCTGAATACCCTCCCCCTATGTGTGGGGTGGCATGCTGCGAGAATCACTTGAGGGATTTCAATGCTACCTCATTGTGTGCCAATTAAGGCACTTCTTTTACATTACCTTGTGATGCTCTCAATGCGGAGTTCACGAAGGTCTCATTCGCTATCATAGTCAACACTAGTAACAGAAGAGAGCCTAGAAGAATGTACAATAGCTTCTCCTTAGCAAACTTTTCTCTAATTTTTTTGGCACTCCCAAAAACGCATAGCAAAATGAAACCTATTTTGTGATCCTTATATGGACCCCTATAATATGCAGCAAACCATTTCTAAAAAGCGCGCTACGACCTGAATGACCTGTTTCAGATTTGTTTGCAGACAATGTTTCAGAGACAAAGCGCTTGTTAGAGCGGCATCAAGAGACGTGAAAGAGGCCCGAGACTGGTTTTTTTTACAGTTTCATCGAAGATTCTTCAGTGAGTGCATGAAATTATGTTTTCAATGAAAAAACTATAATCGGAAAATCTCCTAAGTCCTGAATCTACTGACTTAAAGACACATGGTACGCTCAAACACATTGAGGGTGTATGAGACTATCAGCCCCCCAGCTGTCGATGTGTCGTGGTCCCCCGCCCAAAACTGCACGGGGTCAGAGTACGGGGCCGTGGGAAAGTCGTAATTCCTTGCTACACCGCCCGTTTCGCAAACTCACGTTTTTACTAACACCGTCCGCGCGGCGCGGTCGCGTGCAGCTCTCTTGGCTTTTTGCCAAGTCCTGTAATTGCGCTTTGGAATACAAGTACAACGCAATTTCTTTATGCGGATAACATTTTAGGTGCTGCAAAATAAGAACCGAAGATGATGACGAGGGCTAGAACTCAAGAGCAACTGTGGTGCTTCTGCAATATCCCTCAGAGGCCGCGCATTCCCACAGAACATGACAATAAAAACGGACAACATGACAATAAAAGCAAACACGCAATTTCCTAACATTTGAGGTATTGCTCATGCTTCAAAGTCCGAATAGAAGGTGATGAAGATGACAAAGGCTAGAAATGAAGAACAACGAATGTAGATGTAAATAAAACAAAATTGAAAAAACTAAGGACGCAATAAATTAAAATCGCGTGTGCATTTCTGCGATCCGGCTCGAATCCGGCTCTAAAGCTATAGAAATACTTCAAACTAACGAGTGGGACGCTTAGGCCGTTTTTATTGTCATGTTCTGTGGGAATGCGCTCTGAGGGATATTGCAGAAGCAGCACAGTTGCTCTTGAGTTCTAGCCCTCGTCATCATCTTCGGTTCTTATTTTGCAGCACCTAAAATGTTATCCGCATAAAGAAATTGCGTTGTACTTGTATTCCAAAGCGCAATTACAGGACTTGGCAAAAAGCCAAGAGAGCTGCACGCGACACGCGCCGCGCGGACGGTGTTAGTAAAAACGTGAGTTTGCGAAACGGGCGGTGTAGCAAGGAATTACGACTTTCCCACGGCCCCGTACTCTGACCCCGTGCAGTTTTGGGCGGGGGGACCACGACACATCGACAGCTGGGGGGCTGATAGTCTCATACCCCTCAATGTGTTTGAGTGTCACCATGGTGTCTTTCATCCGAAAAAATGTATTGGAACCGCACACAGAAGTACATAAGCACGTTAAAAACTGGTCTCGACAATGAAAGGGTAATGTGGCGGTGATGACGTGGCTGAGCCGCTTAAGCGCAATCGCATCAACTGCCCCCAAGACTTGCAAGTGCAGAGTCATCGATGAATTTGTCATCAGAAATGAGATGGCACTTCAAGAAGAATGAAATGGAATACTCTTTGGCATAACAGCTTATATCCTCTCAATTCAGAAGGTGCAGTCTCCAGCGGGATGGAATAAGCTCGCCAGCAGCATTCTATCAATGGTCGTTTTGTCTTATCTCATTTCTCTAGATGTTCACATTGGTAGAGAAAGGCAGCCAAAGGCGGATTCATTTCATTCCCTCCCCCAGCACAACCACTACTGATTGCGACGTTGTCAGCTATTATATCAGGCCCTCTGGAACTGCTGCCAAAAGTTCATATGAGATCAAGTAACAACTAAACTAGATAATATCAGGCGCCCTGAGGTATAAAGCGCCGGGGTCTTCCTAATCCCCTTGCCGGTGCTCGTTCCCGCTCTGAGGCTTCAGGTGTCTTTCAAGGTGTTCTTCGCAGCAAGAATCGTGAATGTTTTTCATCATACTGGATGTAGAGCATATGAGTATCTTCGCTGTGATTCTGAAAAAGCTCTGCGCACGAGCGCCCCCCTCCCCTTCTATGGTGGTCACCTCAGTAGTAAATTCCACAAACATGCACACATACGCCCCATTCCCTCCCTCCCCCCCCCCAAACGTTGCAAATGTCTGCGTACTGCGCCTCGATTCGTATTTGACTCACTTGTAAAAGGTGGTTTTCCTCTGCCTCGCCATAGAGAGCAGTATCACCGTCGGCTGAGCGCAAGGGAGTTTATTTCAGGGACTTTTGTGTAGGCAAAACTAAGCCACAGATTCTATGATCGACCTTTCAATGAATCTTGGCATCGGGTGAAGTCTTCCTGATTAGATGTTCAAATCACCGCCAAGATATCAACAACTTTATATGGCTAACCCTTCGGAGACGACTTCGTCGGAGCCTGGAAAGTCAAAAATGAGGTGACCTACCGCCGAATGCCATTTCGGACTGACTGACCTTAGGGGATTAGGAGAGCACGGCTAGCCTTTAGTTTGCGCACCACAGCTTAAACTGACGCCGCCGTGGTTTCAGCTGGCCCAGCCCCTTTAACCCGAAGCCGACTGCGACTGAAGCACACCAGGTCAGCGAAGGGGGCGAGCTCACTTGTAATTGCTAGGCGTTCATCTTTCTTGCTCAATTTATGGCTTTTGGCCCTTATCCAAAACACCTTCAAAGTTTTGCTGCTCTGTTATCTTTGACTTTCCAGGCTCCGACGATGGCGACTAGGATGAAACGTTATCCAAATTGAGTTGTTACTATCTTGGCTGTGGTTTGAACATCTATTAGGAAGACCTTACACCATCACTCTAGTTCGCTGCGGACGGTTGGGCGTGTCAGCCAGTATGAGTGTGTCACCCCGTCAAAGCCGTTCTCTGCCTTCTTGTTGAAACGCGCATGCGACAAAAAGTGGTAGAAAACGAGTAATACGAAGGATATGATACAGTATTGTCACTTGCCCGCTAGTGAGGAACGAGTTTGGCACCGCGCCAAATGTAGCCGCACTGACACGCCCAACCATCAGCAGCCAACTACCCTAAAGCTATCGCTTGCGTCTCTCTCATTTGGTTAGGAAGCCTTTATTTCCTAACTCAACGAAGCTGTGAGACAGCTTTGCTGCTTTTGTTGTTAGCAATGCGACCTGCTCATCGGCGCTCAAACGGTCAACTTTTGGGACACTCCATACAACGTTTATTTCGGAGCGACCGGACACAATTGTTGAGGGCATCAGCCAAAGAGTAATCCGGTTCGCTACAAATCAAAATGATGAGGAACTCTCAGAAACAAATGAGAAGAGAATGGCGTTTCTATACATTTCTGCTGAGCATACGAACAACGGTCAAAATCAGTCATTCAAGAGAATACAAAGTCGATAATTAATGAGGCGTGGAAGTCAGGCGATTGGAAAGAGAGAACTGAGGGAGATATGATCACGCGTAGAGTGTTTGCTTTTTGGTGATTGCTTGCCGGCAAATGTGGCAGGACTTCAGCAACGGAGTACAGTCTGAGCATGCCGTATGACCACAATTGAAGACGATCTGAAAAGAAAAGCGATATATCTTCAGGCAGTACTACACTGCATAGGAAGGTTACTTACACTGGGACGGGCATCCATGCAAATGGTACACGACGTTTCCATCTCTAGTTGAGCTAACTTCTCGCGTAACTCCTCCAATTCGCGTAGCTTCTCTGAAGGCGACCAGTAAGCGAAACGAGTCTCCGTCACTTCCAATCTCGTGTAGAGATCATTGCAAGACATGAACCATGTGTTGACTATCCTGCCGTCTTGCACGACTTACTTGGTTTCTGGTGGCCGCACGAGAACTTAGGTAAGCTACTCTACTGCATCAGAATCAATTGCTGCTTCATTTCCACCCTCCCCCTCCCCCCGTAATCGTGTGGTCCGCAATCAGGAATGTGACATTTATCATTTACCACTTTCCCGATCGGAAGTGCTCGGTAACAACGTTGAGTGCTCTCTGCCCTTCAATTCTCTTTTTTCACATCGTTTTACCACGGCTACGTATAGTATCGATTGCTACTTAAATTCCACCGTCCTTGCCCCCTTCCCATCGGTGCTCGTGTGGTGCGCTATAGTGAACGATATCCCACTTTAGCGATTTGAAAGCGCTCTGCAAGAAGGCTGCGGCTCTGCTACGATGAGCGCTCTTTGCTACGATGAAGAGCTCCCGCCCCTCGACTCCTTTTCATTTTCTTGTTTCACCATCGCCGTATAGGGTGGAGTCTCGAGTCTTATCCTCGCTCGCTTCAGCAACTGGAGAGAGTGGATTTGGCACCGCGCCAAACTCAACCGCCTGATTTGGACCTGCGGGTTTTATTTTTCCGTTGGAGTCTTCCAGAGCGGTCCGTAAGAACAGCTATGGTCTACCTTGAAAGTCTATGGTCTACCGCAGCATAAAGGTCGTTTATCCTACCACGTTCAGCGTCCATCTTGGCTTGTTTGGCAGCCGCAGCAGCTATTCGTTCGATCTCCTCTTCAGCCAGAATTCGACGCTGCTCTTCTTCAGAAGGAGCAGTAGTTCGTGAAAGAGCAGCACCGATCTGTACCTCGACACCATCTGAAATGGACACTTGCCAGCGACTCATTTGTCATAACAGTTACTGAGCTGAGCGGGGTGATAGTGAGCACCCCCCCCCCTCCTCTCAAAGTGGCTTACACATTCCTCCCGCATGCATATGCTCGCAAGATGGATATAGACCCCGTGCGCAAAATCAGTGCCCTTTTGCATCGTACTGGGTACAGGAGCTAAAGTGTGAAAGCAGCCCAGCATTGAATGATGCTAAGGAGGATTCGAAAATTGGACAAATATGCGAGCGATTGAGAACTGACCAGATATGGCTTTAGCGATAAGCTGATAGCAAAGTGGACATCGTCGTAGTGGAGTACTTCTGGCGCACTGCTTACAGACGACCCGATGACCGCATGGAACAAAACACACGTCTGCTTGAGAGTCCTGCAAAAGATGTTTTCTCCCTAATAGCAGGTGAAGACTAGACCAACTCACCTCACAGTTGAACGTACACATTGTTACTCCGGACGGATCGAACTCGACAAACGTGGCCTTCGTCATCGGGAGGCATGACCTGTAATGGCTAGCCATGAGACGGTAACAGCCCATAGGAGGCCCCTCACCATACCTTCGAAAGCGGCTGCTGTACATGAGAGGCTCGTGGACAAATGCACCTCACCACCCTCTGTTGAGGATGAGGAAAGAAAGAAGGAGATAATGATAACAAACAGACACGTAGGCATTGATACCCGTGATAAACCGACCTCGGGCGTTTTTCCACGATATCGCTTAGCAGAATCCTGATTCGCTCGTCTAAACATCCTTCTAGCACCGATACTCCAAAGCGGTCACTGAAAACGGCTTACAGAAGCAGGACTACTGTTTCGCATTTTGATGAATACTGGACACAAACGGGGGGGAGTCCTTTCTCTCAAGGATAAACTGCTAAAAGCAGTTTCACAAGCGGGACACCGTAGAGCTTGCCCCTCCTAAAACAAAACTGGTGTGCAAGAACGGAATGTCACCCATACAGGGGGCCAATAAAAAGTCACTTTTCTTCATTGACTTTCGAGGCGCTATAAGTTACACTTTATTAAATTCTGATCGGACATTTCCACCACCATATTAAAGAGCATATTAAATACTATCATGACACTCCGCCACAGCCTTCTGGACGAGCGCCATCGAGAGATTCTGGCACGCGACCGCGATGTGGTGCCTGAGATCAGCGAGATAGTCGATTCTCTCACTAGACCGAGCTCTTGTTGAACGTCCGCCGAACCGGGTAATTGAGGGAGTTTAGGGCAGAGGGGAGCTCTACTTGGATATTCCAGTCTTTCCTCTTATGTACTTCACGCCTGGTCCAATTCAAGTAGGCGAGAGTTTTCAACACCTTCCGACTTACACAGGTTGTCGTCACCCAATGCTGCTAGCGAGATACAAAGTTTCCAAGAAGTACGGGACGCGGACATGCGGGCGAGCGATATTTTTCTCGCGGTTCTCGATGTAAACCGCATCATTCGCTTCAGTCAGAAGAGAAAAGAAGAAAATATAGTCTTTCCATACAGGTAGGTTCGCGCCTCATGCATTCAACCCGTGCCTTGATGCGGACTGCGCGTGAAGATGAATTTTCTAGATACCGTATCGACTCGAAACTGTTTCATGTTCTGAGGTCTTGCAGATCAGAGCTCTTGGGTCTCCAGGGACGTATCCATGGCGTGATTCCATTCAAGAAGTTCGCAAGCTGGTTGTTGGAGCGGCTACGTGAATTCATAAGGCGTTCTCCAGTCAGACTACTGGGAGTCTGATCTTGCTGAGATGACTTCTATTTTTGATTTGACAATGAACGCTGAATGAGCAAGAGCCAGTCCTTCCGTGCACGGCGTGGTGCTACTACGTATTCACGTCTCTTGCTAGGCCCTGCGAAAACTTTGCTGATATGGTGACTCCATCGAAGTAGTGAACTTATTTTGATTGGGCCCCCCTACCTGCATATCTCAGAGATGAGGAGGATCCGCGGCATGAGCGATACTTCATTCAAAACGTGTCGAGCGCGTTTTTAGAGGCGATGTGTTGCAGTTTACGGAAGTTGCAAACATAACTTTCTTCAGTACAAGATAAAATTACAATTGTATCGACTGGAAATCACAATCACAAGCAACGCATCTGCGCCATGTTCGAGTGAAGTGTGCAGCCACGCCCACTCCATCGCTGTGATATGGAGTGTAGGTGTACTAGAAAAAGCACTGTTCCTTTGTAAGCTTGACAAACTTCTAAATTACGAGCACTGATAAAGAGGTGAACCTTCTGAACTACACATCTCGAAACAATGTTTCTGAACGGGTTGCAGGTTCACTAGAAGGAGCAATCCATGTGCTGGAGCTTGTGAAGGCGTTGCTGCGTAATTCACTCGAATGTGGCAGTGACTGCTTTTTCGGTAGAAAATTGCCGTTTTAGGACGATTCTGTGATGTCTTACTAACCCAATGTAGCATGCAGGCTGACACAAACTTAGACTTCTCAGTGAGACGCATTCTATGCATGCTCTGATGAAGGAGCAGCCACACTCTCTCCGTCTCCTGTGAAGTGAAGATAATGGTTGTGTGAGAAGGGCCGTTACGTCAGTTAATTGGTAAAGGAGACAGTTGCAAAGTTCTTGCCACTTTCTCGACATGAAAGTAAGTGACAACGACGGTGAGGGAGGCCCATGACGCCCTGCTGGGATCGCCAACTTGAAGACAAACTGCAAACTCGCCTCCGTGGATACTAGCCTTTGGCATGTGTGAAGTGAATGAGTGCATCTGCTTAGCGCGGCGTTTCCTCCGACTAAAAGTGCACGGGGACAGAGCAGTGATCCAGGTCCCGGCTCTCGCCGCGCTGCCGCAATTTCATCCCGCCCGACGCCCCTTCATCCGCTGCGAACTCGACTATACCTGTCGTTTTACGTGCACCACTCTTCTTCCACATCCCTCCACCATCTGCTATCGAAGCTAGTGTCTTCTCGTCGCTTACTTGTGCAATCAGGAATTAGCAACGGGATGGGTGAAATAGCGATGTAAACCCTAATCATCGCCAACCGCGCTACTTCCTGAAAGTTCCCACACCTGCTTGTTCTCCACCGCTTAGTGCGTGATTGGGTGCGGGGTCTTGAAGCAAGTGCTGCATCTGTGGGAAGACGGCACCCGGCATCACTACACTCCAGCCCTGCTCCCATGCACTTCTAAGTGGAGAAGGTGGCGCGGTACTGCAGCTGCACACCCATTCACATCGTACCTGGGAGAGACCGTCTTTGGAGGTGCGCTTTTCAAAAGTACTTGCATTCGAAGTTATTCTCTGAATCGAACAATTTCACTGTGCGCGACTGGCGAATGCATACCGCTGTCTGCTCGCCTGCGCACAGACTGTTCTGCCGCTCATTCCTCACCATGTAGCTAGATGCCCAGTGTCTGTCTCGCGCGCTTGTTTGTGCAAATACAGGGAACATCTACCGGGATGGTGAAGTGGGGTGCAAGTACAATCTCCCAATTTCCCTTTTTCAGTGGCGATCCCTTCTCCATGCCTTTACCCACGTAACCGCGGATTGTTTATAGTCCTTCTTGTTTCTCCCAAATGCTCTAAGATTTGTTCCAGCTTTCTAGGGGGGGAACTTTCGTTGAGCGAAAGGCCATGGAAGGCGTAAATGAAACGTTAAATAAGCGAAATTCACCTGTGGATCACATACGATGACTTGTGAACCCCCCCCCCTCCTTCAAACCATCCGAGTATCACCTCTCCCATAGGATTCTCTCAACGATGCCGTACCTTGGTGTAGCCCTCAAAGAACTGCCGTAAAAGTTTTACTCATGGTCTTTTACTCTTCTTTTCTCACGGGAGAGCATGCCACTGCTCTGTTCCTTGCTGCCCTCATCTACTTAGGATCTATTGCATAACCCCCCCCCGCCTTTTTTTTGAACTAAACGCCAGCAATACTCTGAGAGATATGTAATGATCACTTAAATTACTTATTCGGGCACATTCCTGTATCGTCCAATCTTCTATGCTGCAAAGTTTATGCAACGGAACCAAAGCAGGACATATGCGAGGGAGCAAACAAATCCGAATCGATTTAATACCGTTCTATTAGTAATGAACAGGGGGTGGGGAGCCTGCATGTTAAGAGGACGCGCTGCCAGGGCACGCCATTGCGTTGTGATCATTTCCTGAAAAATACGACCCCCCCTAATTCCATCTTCAAGTACGACCCCCTCCCCACGTTACCTCTTCCCTAGATTTTTCCAACCTCCTACCACTTTGTCTATTTTTTCCCAAAAAGTTTCTGGTTTTTTTACAAAATTTTGCTGTCGAGCGGGGGGGGGTCGCAGTACCTACGTACGTCCCAAGCACGTCCAGCACTCTGGCGCTGTCTACTGACAATACGTACGAGGAAGGGGCGATGATAGGAGCTACGATCACCGCCCACAAGGGCCCCATGAATTTATAAACAAACAAGAGGACTCACGACGTGACGATTAATAAACAGATGAAAGTACATTCCCGGACTTTTCTGATCGTAGGAGCACATTTGCTTGCAATTGGGAAGCCCTATCTAGAAGTTACACCTTTCAAACACCTGCGTGAAAGCCCCATGCATGGCGCATTGCATATGTGATGCCAATTGGCGCCCAATGGCCTATTACCTGATATGCTTGACGAAAACATGTGTTTTAGAAGCATACCAAAGTCTTCGAGCCAACTGGAGGTTTCCTGGCCTCGGAGGGGTTGATTTTTCGGTGTCGTGGGGGGTGATTACAAAATGATCACAACGGGGAATTTTTTCGAATAGTAGGTCTAGGGAAGGAAATTAAAACCTTGCCTGGAAAGTAGAAATCTTCAAGCTTCCGGCACAGTTCTTGTTTTTTCGAAGGCCGTGTACTGAAAGCTTCCATGGACGTCCAAAGCGAATCCATCTGCTGATCAACTGTTTTGCGTACGACTCGGCGCAAAAATGATCACAGAGTGGATCGAAAAGATGATCAGCAACGGCGAAATGCTCTGGAACGGAACGTTTTTGAAATCGCTCAATTCAGGTGATAAGAGCCAACCTAGCTCTACTCATTCCCACTTACCCCTCTCCGATAGCTTCACTTTCAACGAAGTTATGGGTGTTCAAATGAGGGGTACTTTTCACGTGTTTGGCTTGAAATTGGCTCCAAACCGTAAATAGCGCGCACCAATGCGCTTGTATGAGCGCGCTGACCGCGAACAGCCAAAATTCAAAAGTAATCCATAGTTCCGGTTCCCAGCTGAGCGGTGAGTTTTTCTTTATCCTTTTTATTGTGAATTACTTTGTTTGTTTTTGTTGATTTGATATTGTTTTGTTGAGTTTGTTTTTGTTGTGAAGAAATTGCTCAGGATTCAATTTCTACGGTTTCATAGGTAGCTTTTGCAATGGATTTTTTTCTAGATTTTGCGGATTAGTGGATTGGGATTTACCCAGACCAGATGGGGAGGGTTGGTGGGCGAAGTGTCTTGAAGTTTTTTTGTGAGGAAGGAGGAAAAAGTTTCAGCAATATTTTTTTAGTTTTTGGCCTAGGAATAGTTCGATAGTGCCTAGTTCTATTTATTGTCATCTACATCGTCCCTTTTGAGCTTCTTTTTACTTGTACCGTGTATCACCGCTCTCTCCACTTCAACATGGGCCATGCGTTTACGACCCCCCCCCCCCTTTATCGCGGGCAAATACGACCCCCCTGTTGTGATGATCACAAAGAGATGGCGTGCCCTGCGCGCTGCAAGGGTGCGAGAATGCGAAAGAAAAATAAGTGGCATGTGAATTTCCTAACAAATGTTCCCACAAAAATAATTCTCAAAAAGCTATGAAAGCTCTTCACGGTATTGTTTCAGTGACAACTGAAAGAAATTCGAGTAAAATTGCCACCAACCTACACTCTATCTTTGCACGTTCATTGTTGTGGTCGTGACCTTGCAAACGATGGGGCTCGTGGCCGGCATCTATTGAAGCGGTCTACGGACAACTGATCAATCCCTTTGAACGCGTCGATCTTCTGTTTTTCTCTGCACTCTCCCGTCCGCATGGCACACTGTGGTTGTTGTGACTTCGCTCACTCCAGCTTTTCACCGACTATAAGTAGCTCACCCACCCCGGAGTCCCTCCCCCTGAAAAATCCCGTTTTCTGGCTCGCCCATACGTTTTTTGCACGTTTCGATGCTTTGGCAGCCGCTGCCCTCTATCCGTCTGCGTCACAGGGTTTCGTAACAGGACCATGCACAGAAGTTCAAGATGTCACGTAACCCTACTGAAGCATGCCAAGGCGGGATTTCCCACCAATGATGTCAACCTTAGTCCGCTACAATTGGTGGGAAAGGTCCAATTAGCGCCTCGTCGCACGCCCTGTCGTTTCCAGAGATCACGACTATATTTCAAGGTAAGTACCACCAGTGATAATACAGATCATTACCAAAATACACTCAGTGTTTCAAACGCCCACGAAAGCAGTAATGATAAACTTTTTCAGCACTCACACCAAAGAAAGATCAGCTCCTCGAGCGGTCAGGAAACAGAGACTAGCGAACTGCCAATGCGGTCGAACACGACTAGCTATATCGTGCAGATTCTGTAAGGGAGAAAAAGTTTGCAAAAGCCTCAGCTGTTGTTCATGTACCTTCACAGAACCACTTCTTTTACTGTCTTCCTACCTGTGTGACAGGTGCTGGCGATATTCAAAGAAAAATTGGGTACAGATCATGATATCCGAGGCGCGGCATCAACGCGTGCAAACTAGCAGCGTTTTTCTCAGGTTACCGCCTTGTCAGCTATGTAGTTGATCGGATGCGCGAGAGCACTGTCACCTTGAATCAGTTGGGACCTGATGCCAATGACACTTTGTAACGCCTCTTCCACCGTTCTTCGGGTGGCCGAATTAAATTTCAAGAAAATAGGACGCAGAGCGTGCGATTCTGCCAATCTAGCACTCGTCCGGCCATATATGCACAGTTGATAACGTTGCTGTCCGGAGTTGATGAGATGTATGGAATGTGAGACTACCCCTAACTTCTCCACCAGTGGTTGTTTTCTCCCAAAATCGAAAACCAGCACAATTTGTACAGCGACGCAGCCGCAGGTTCATTGTCTCCCTCCTGACACTGCCCTACGTGTACTTGCGTATCATCAAAGGAAGTGAGCACAAGGAGTTGAGGGCGAGCGGTGCTGTCAATGGTGGAAGGTCTGCGAGGGAGCATTTGGCCTCACACCATTCAGCCCTTCCACCGATGGTGCTGGCAGCAACCGCACGACCCAGCAATCGTGCCCAGTACCCTTGATACAGGAACGACCTAGAGCTTTACTACTCCAAACTTGCTAGGCTTTTAGAATAGGATGCTTGCTTCCTGAAGATTCGTTTCGCCAAAGGATCCCACCTTCGTCCTATTGAACTATTTTCAAGTGGAGGGGTGTCGTTAATCTACGCCACGCAGGTATTACAAATCTAATCAGCGGAAGGCCATGGAATCAAGCCTACGATGCTCCTTGGAAACGGGCGCTGTGCTTGCTCTGTACTCACGGCCTCGAAAGAGTGTACGACTTTGTATGAAGGGCTCTGTTCGAAAGTGGAACGCAATAGAGTTTGAGGTATATGACTGCCTTAATACGCTTGTTCACAACAAAATTTGTTCTCTCGTTTCACCCAGGAGAGCGGCACATTGATTATTTTATGATCACGAAAGAATTTCTATCCTGAGGTTCAATTCATGGCTTGAAGTGCTATCTGCACTTTATAACTTCCAATTTTTGAGGATACGTCAATATCTGCTCACCATATTAATGAGGTCACTGCACGTTCGGATAGCATGGAACATGGACATAGGCAAGTCGACGACGTTGCAGTCGCGTGAAGCTGATGAGATGCGATTCATCTCCCTCATCAGCAGATGAGCAGCTGTCTGTCCATCACAGTCTTGCACATTCAACGGACAACCAGCTTGCACCAGAGCCTGGAAATAATGGGAAAAGGATCTCAGTGTGGATGGCAAAGGCTACTGTAGCGCATCACTCTTACAAATGAGAACGGGCATTTGAACAAGTCCTTAGCCACACTGTCCAGTCACTTGTCGTTTTCCCTCCACGAAATTATTATTGACACATCAAAATTACCGTAATCAAAAGTTGCAATTGCAGAAGGCCATCCGTGACTGTCGTTTCTAATAAGTTGCAACCGCGGAATTCTTCAAATGAACTACCGTAGCTGTGACTTGTGCCATAGTTGCAACGTAAGAGTATTTAACTATTTTCATTCATCTACTACTGAAGGATATACAGTCGTGGAAAATCCTTGAAAACAAGCCCAAGTAGCGTGCTTTTTAATATGTAGTTTCACATACAATTTTTAAACTCCACATGAATATTTTGTTTGCTTAAATCAGGTGCGCCTCAAAATGCCATCCCGAAAAAAATGAAGTTTACTGATTTGCGGGCCCATCGAAAGAACGTCACACCTATCTGAGTGTCGCTCCCTTGTTCGCTCCCTTCTTTTCCATTCCTTTTTTTAACACTTTCGAAGAACCTACACTCTACTTCGCTGCGGACGGATGGGCGTGTCGGCCACTATGAGTGTGCACAGCATCAGGGCCGTTCTCTGCCTTCTTGTTCAAATGCACATGCGACAAAAAGTGGTAGAAAACGAGTAATACGATCGATATGATCAGCTAAATCATCTTGTCCGCTTTTGACAAAGTGTGGTGGAGAGGGTTTGGCACCGTGGCAAACGCAGCCGCACCGACACGCCCAACATTCCGCAGTGAACTATAGTGTATGTTGTTCTCGAAGCATCAAAAACTTCGAAAACCGGCCCAATATCAGAGTGGCCGCCCGCCCCATTGCGATTGTTTTCAAATTCTGCTCCGCGATAACGACATTTAATCAACCACCTCTATATCTTTGAATCGCCATTTTCAAAGGCCCTTACTTGATTGAGGCAGACAAAGCCTTTCCATGTGCGATTTAGAAAATTTTTGTGTTAAATCTGTTATAAACGCTGTTGACTTGGGCTTGTTCCAAGTCTTTTTTCCCGCGACTGTAGATGACTGGATGAATGCGTACTGCAAATCGGAATCTGAATAAGAGAGTATAGCTCGCCTGCACACACGCCAAACGATCCATGTCTTTGTCGACTGCTCCGTGCCAAGTTTCCAACGCCAAATGCAAGGCAGTACGTCCCAACTTCGAGTATCGGTTAACGTCTGCGTTCAACTGAAGTCAGTAAGTAAAGTGTGCTTGCGCTTAACTATAGATCAGTTACTAAAGGTACATTCCACAGATGCCTTGTGGCGATCAAGAATAACAGTTGAGGTGCCAAGAGGTCTGCTGCTGAAGAAAGCGCTGGAAATAGCCAAAAGTACAAAAACTGGGCTGTTATGGCACTGTTTTCAGCGTATAAAAGGCGGAGGTGGTGTAGTGACAAGTGGCGCGCTTACCACAAGCGCGGTCCTGGATTCGAAGGTCGACTCCCGCCCAGGCCAACCAAGCCTTCTACCCTCCGGGGACGGTAAATTGGTACCAGATTCGTCTGGGAGGATAAAACACTGACTTGTACATCGGCTGGCCAGTCATTGTATAGGCCACATCGCATTCAATAAGCCACTACGATTCTGAATGGAAGTAGAATGCGTGCCGCATCCCACAAAGGGATTGATCAACGGCGAAGACTTCATCCTTTATCCTTTTTTCAGCTTGGTCTGGGGCGGCTTCTATATCAGGGCACTTATCATGGCGTAGCGAAGATGCCTGTGTCGCTACGACTCCCTTTTAGAACAGGATTCCGGTGCGACCCGCTCTCCTTCTGCACGTAGTGCAGAGGGCAGTGTTCTTGAAATGCTCATACAATCGTCCTTATTTTAAAAAAACTTTGATGGGGGCGCGTCGAAGGCTTTGGAAACCACTCAAAGACCACTTCTTCGCCAAAAAATTGGAGAGAGTAGTTCGCTCGGCATCGACTGCATACGCCATGGCTTCGGCTCCTACATGGAGGTGGTGGTAAGATATATCTTCTTCACACAATGTTTGCTAGTGCATGCCGACGTGTTCTTGAGGTTCAGAATGACCCACAGCTTTTGCATAGCTTCTCTAATACACTAGGCACAACTTCCAAACTCGCGTTTTCTACGCAGTTCCCTACGGCGGGAGTCCGCTCCCCTCTCCTTGCCGAGAAGGCTACCACTTTGATGCTGATCTTGCGCGTACAACCCACT